ATACCCTCTCAACCAAGTAATAAAAGGTTCACACCACAGAAATAAGGTAATCAACATCATGTGCTTCCTGAAATGATAGTGAGAAAAGCACAGCATATTCCTGTAATATTCCTGCCAAAAAGGTATAAATCATAAGGAAACATTAAATAAACCCAAACTGAGAGAGATTCTACACAGTAACTGGCCTGCTCTCTTCAAAAAAATGTCACACTCATGAAAAATAAGGAAAGACTGAGAAATTGTTTCAGCCTAGAAAAGAGTAAAGAGATTTGACAACTAAATGTAGCATATGATCCTAGATACATGAAAGACATAATTGAATAATCAGCAAAATTTGAATGAAGTCTGTGGATTTGACAGTAAATTGGATCAATTTTAATATCCTGATTTTGTTGATTGTACTATAATTATATGGGAGAGGAACCCTGGGTTAAGAAATACACACTAGGGGCACCTGTGTGGCTCAGTCGGTTAAGCATCTGGTTAAGCATTTTATGGGCTCAGGTCATGATCCCACAGTTCGTCAGTTTGAGCCCCACGTCAAGCTCTGTGCTAACAGAGCAGAACCAGCTTGGGATTCTCTCCCTCTCTCTCTCTGCCCCTCCCCCATTCATGCTCTGGCTCTCTCTCTCTCTCAAAATAAATAAACTTAAGAAAGAAAGAAAAAGAAAGGAAGGGAGGGAGGAAAGAAAGAAGGAAGGAAGGAAGGAAGGAAGGAAGGAAGGAAGGAAGGAAGGAAGGAAGGAAGGAAGGAGGGAGGGAGGGAGGGAGGGAGGGAAGGAAGGAAGGAAGGAAGGAAGGAAGGAAGGAAGGAAGGAAGACACACCAAAATATTAAGGGGAGGTAATGGGACATCATGTCCACACCTTATTCTGAAATGTTCAGAATGTTAACAATGAGGTAATTTGGATGAACAGTATACTGGATCTCTGTGTACTATTTCTGTAATTTCTATGTCAATTTGAAATTACTTCAGGGGCGCCTGGGTGGCTCCCATCAGTTGAGTGTCTGACTCTTTTGATTTCAGCTCAGGTTACGCTCTCGCCTTCATGGGATCAAGCTCAGAGAGGGATGGTGCTCTGCCCTGACAGCACAGGACTTGCTTGGGATTCTCTCTCTTCCTCTCTCTGCCCCTCCCCCACTCTCTCTCCCTCTTTCTCAAAATAAATTTTTTAAAAAAGTAATGAAATTACTTCAAAATAAAAAGTTTAAAACAGCATAGTCCTTATTATATATACATCATAGGATGACTGCCTATTGACAAGGCTACTTTCACTAGAATACATTGGAACTTTATTATAACATTATTTCCTATAAAACAGTAAACTAAATAAAGTTAGGTCCAACTTGATTCCATGGAGTTTAGGTGCTGAAATTTAGACTACTCCCAGATTTCAACTGGTTCACTTTTTGTTATCTTCCTAACAGAATTTAAACCTCTTCTAGCCACACCCTTCACAATTTCCTCCAACTTCCGCGTAAACAAAAGGAAGGGATCACAACAAGTGACCCTGCTATCACAAAACAGCTCTACTAAAAAATCTCACCATGAGTGGTTTCAGCTACAAAATGGACAGTGTGGGCAAAACAGCTCTCTAATTTATACTTTAATTTTTTTTTTAATGTTTTATCTATTTTTGAAAGAGAGGGCACAAGTGGGGTAGGGACAGAGAGAGGTGGGGACAGAAGATCCAAAGCAGGCTAAGCACTGAAAGTAGCAAGCCTGATGCGGAGCTTGAACTCACACACTGCAAGATCATGACCTGAGCTGAAGTCAGACACTCGACTGACTGAGCCACCCAGGTGCCCCTAATTTATACTTTTAAATACATATAGATATGTTTTAAAATTAAATTTTATTTATTTACTTTAAAAAAAAATTTTTTTTTAATGTTTATTTATTTTTGAGACAGAGAGAGACAGAGCATGACGGGGGAGGGTCAGAGAGAGGGAGACACAGAATCGGAAACAGGCTCCAGGCTCTGAGCTGTCAGCACAGAGCCCGACGCGGGGCTCGAACCCACGGACCGTGAGATCATGACCTGAGCCGAAGTCGGACGCTTAACCGACCAAGCCACCCAGGCACCCCTAAAATTAAATTTTAATATTAAAAGTCTCTGAACGTCAAAAGTGTTTAAAACACTCGGAAATTAATATGAAACAGAGAAAACACTGAATAGCAATCAAGATTACAATCTTAATTTCTATCCAATTAGCTGACAGAAGTGATATCTGCCACATCTATTTCCTAATTTCCAAAATGAGGCTTGATAACCTACCTGTTTCATATCTCCTAAAAAATAACCAATATGTGAAGTACATCAGGTTTCTTACAGGGAAATGAAAAAAATGAAGATATACTAGTATGGTAACAACCTTTGGGAAATAAGATACTCTACACAAATAAGGGTTTCTCTGTAAAGTTGTTGTGTTCTGTGTTGTGTGTGTGTGTGTGTGTGTGTGTGTAATTTTGGTTGGAAATTTTTCTAACAATATTACCAACTTCTTTATATTGAGCAAGATATACTGATTACTTAACCATTTTTTCATCACTCAGGATCAGTGTTATAAATACTGACTACTGGTATACAAGGATATCTTAAGTAGCCAACCAAGGTCTAATTATTGAACTCTTTCAGATAGAAATGCCACACTATGACAGTTTTATACAGCAATAGGGCGTTTCACTCATTCACTAATTGCAACATTTATTCAGGGCCCGCTATGCGCCAGCACTGTCTAGACACTGAAGATAGGTATAGACCTCAGTCTGGTAGGGAGAGACAGACATATGATAAATAAGCATATCTGCTGTCAGGACTGCTGTGCTATTTCCATGGACCTGTGCCACTGAAGCACAAAAAAGTGGTTCTCCAATGAGGTGGAGGGAGGATGGAAAACAGGTGCACTGTCAGACATCTTCACTAACATCTCCTTACCCCTTTATAGCACTAATTCCAAAGTCTGAGGCAGCCTTGGGGTTCCTCAGAAACAAGCCCCAAGATGCCTATGTAAATTAGGTTTGAGATATTCCCAGGAACCTAGATTCCTAGCAGAGCTCTGGATGGCTAACCCGAATTTCTGGCCTGGTATCTTTTCCAATATTTGGAAGCCTTGCATAAGATACATGTCCAAAACAACCTCGCATGAATAATTTCAGAGGCCAAATTTTTCAAAGATTAATGGACAATCTGAAGCCAGAAAGTGCAGTCTTCCTTTCAAGTTTCATTTTGTTTTTGAATGAAACTACTATTGTGCGTTTGTTATGTGCAGCATTTTTACATACGTCATCGCATTTAACCCTCATAACCAGGCTATAACGTAGGAGTAGAAATTTACAAAAGAGCAAATAGCTGAATTTTAATGCAACTTTCCCAAATGATGAACCTAGGATTAATAAATGCAGATGAAGTATGCCTGTGAAATCCAGGCTTTTTAATAAATCACCAGTCAGAAGGCTCCATTCCACCCAAATATCTACAGAGACAGACTAAGTATCTGCCCATTTGTGAATACATATTTGAGAAAACTGTCATGTGATACCCATAAAACTATTACTAAAAGAATAGTATAATAACTATGTATACATATACTATAACATAGTGATGATACTATTACTTCTATATAGTAATACATAAGAAATTAGGAAGAGTGATTATTCACCTCTGGATAGAGAAGTTAGGACGCTCCTGGTGTCAAAAATTACCCTGAACAAGTAAGTGGATATGGGCGGTAAACATTTTGATAACTTGTGTTTCTTATCAAAAAATTATACTTTAAAATATATAAAAATGTGTGTAACTTTTTAGGAATTTTGGCTTATTGCTCTGATTTCCACTATTGTTATCTTGTTTCCCCTGTAAGTAATCCACAAATAGGGCAGAAACATTATTTTAAAAAGTGATTAAAAACAAAACAAAATGCTGAAATGCATGAGAATTCTGTTGTTATGCTACATTTTGCTAAAATTGAATATAAAAAATTTGGATTTACTAGTCCAGTCAAATCCAAGGTAGCTTAATTATTCTAGCATTCCCCAGAAGTTCTTCAGACCAGGTACTTTTTTGAGCCTTTCACCAAGGTTATAAGTCAAAGGCAGCAGAAGGGCACCAGAGGCTAAGCCATTGATCTTTGCAGTCAGGCATAATTCCAAAACTGGCCCCTGCCCAGACTCACTAGGTCACCTGGTGACCTGATTCTTCTAATGATTCCGCGCATGATTAACAGCAACTGCCATGCGCCAAGTCCTTCCGGTGTTATCAAGGCTGAACAAAATTGTCATTAGGCCCTAACTTTATGAGACTATTCTACTCAACCTCTGGTAAATTCCCTGATCTCTCTAAACCTTCGTATCTTCATCCATTAAATAAGATAATAATGGCTTATACTGTACTAACTGTGCCCTTGCTTTGTGCCAGGCACTGTTCTAAATGCGTTAATCCTCATAACCCTAAACGGTAGGTCTACATTTGTGCATCACAATCTGTAAAGAAGATTAAGTAAACTACTTGTACTTTGCATAGTGCCTGACACAGAAGAACTCACTTAGGTAAAAATTACTAGTCGTCCGTCAGACTTTTACAAAGCTGTGCATGCAGTAGGTTTAGGTAAAAATTAAGGTTCAGTCAAGGTGGCAGACGAGAAGTTTTGCCACGATTTCGTGGCCTGCGCGAAATTTCCGGCGGCCTCAGTCCCCGCCAACCGGCTCGCCCCGGCCAGCCCCGAGTCCCGCCGCGCCCACCCGGGTCCCTCGGGGCCACTCCCGGACCACCTGCCAGCGCAGGCCGGGCTCGCTCACCGCAGCAGCTCCATGCAATAGCGGTCGGTGCCCGAAGCGCCCGATCCGCTGGCCGCGGCCACGCTCCGCCCGGACCCCGCGAGCCCCGGGAGCCGCCGCGCACGAGCCCACAGGCCCCGGGGCGGCCGGCGGCGGCACAGGCCGGTAACGCCGAGCCGCAGCGGGCCGCAGGTGGAACCCAGCACGGAGGCCGCCATGACACCGACGCCGCGTGCCCTCCGACCCCGCCACGCCTCCTCAGGTCCACCCGCCCACTTCTCAGCGGCGGGCTGACGGCCTGGGGACGCCGCTCGGAAGGGAGCCAGGTGTCGCTGTGCTCCTCTGCATCTGGGTCGTCGCCGCCGCGCTCTTCTGCTTTGTGGGTTCCAGAAAAGCCCCGCCGAAATCGGCGGACCCCACGCTGTCTCTCCTCCTTCCTTCCGGGTCCTTCTGAAGATGTATTTATCAAGGTAGGAGGATAGAGAATATTTTATTTGACAGTTTACTAGCTTAATTTATAACTTTTCAGTATTCACATAGTATGTGAGCCTCCTTTGGTACTCTTACCCGCAGTCTCTCAAATATTAAAGCTGGGTCTAGTTACCATGACCTGACCTTGTCCAAGCCATCCATCTCCGCCTACATCTGGATCCCAGTGATACCTCCCGCCTGCCAGATTTGCCCGGTCTATTCGTGCAGTAGCCAGGCGGGTTCTTTCTAAAGTGTACATCCGGGGGTGCCTGGGTGACTCAGTCGGTTGAGCGTCCGACTTCGGCTCAGATCATGATCTCACCGTCCTGAGTTCGAGCCCCAACGTTGGGCTCTGTGCTGACAGCTAAGAGTCTGGAGCCTGCTTCGGATTTTTGTCTCCCTCTCTCTGCCCCTCCCCTGCTCTCACTCTATCTCGCTCTCTCAAAAATAAATAAACATAACATAAAAAAAAAAGTGTACATCCGATCATGATCCTTGCTTGCTTGACAGCCTTTACTACTCATTGGATAAAGCCCTTCCGTGATATATGCCCTCTATTTACTTTTCAGCCTCAACCCTATTTGCATTTGTGACTCCAGTTTAGTGTTTCTCCTTAAAACCAAAGGAGTGTACCCTGTTGCATGGTCCTACCAACTCTCTCCAATTAACCCTGCTTTGGTTTTACTGCCAAGACTGCCTCTGCAGCCTATGCAGGACCTCAGTCCCTCCTTCATAATGTTCTCTTCTCTCTCTTTAGCTCTGACAGACACACACTATTAGTGTTTTTGATACCGCAATTTAAGCCTGATATGTAAAAGAAAAAAAAAATCATGCATCTACATTTCTAGTTCTGATCTCCTGCCCAGCTGGAATTTTCCATCTGGACATCTTGCCATGACTTCAAAGTCCACTAACTCCCCTTTTTAGTCTCTTTATTTAACTGGACAGTAATTCCCTTCTCACAACCAGGGAAAGTACTGTGGAGTCATCCTTCTGTCTTCCCTCTTCTATATCTAATGTAATGTGACTGATCAGGTCCATCAATTTCTTTTCCTTTACATACTCACATACTTGGTTTTGTAGCTGATACAAAACCTGGATTCAGATCCTGGTCCCACTTCCTACTATCTCTGTGACCTTTGGTGACAGATTTACCTTTTCTTGTGCCTCAGATACTTGCCCTAGGAAATGGAAATAATAATAAAACCTACTTCATAAGGTTCTTGTACAAATTAAATGAGCTGATGTATTTAAGGCACCTAGGCAGTGTCTCGCCCGTAAATAGCACTCAACACAAGTCAGCTATGTACGGAAAACATTAAGAAAGACTTTTTAGGGGCACCTGGGTGAGTCAGCTGGTTGAGTGGCCAATTCTTGATTTCATCTCAGGTCATGATCCCAGGGTCGTGGGATCGAACCCTGCATCAGACTCCATGATGAGCTTGGAGCCTGCTTGGGATTCTCTCTCCCTCTGCCCCTTTCCCCAGCTCCCACACTCTCTCTCTCTCTAAAATATAATTTAAAAATTAAAAAACAAAAGAGTTTAAAAGGAGCAAAACGATTGTGTCTCAGTGGTAAGCTAGACATTGTTCAGGTTATTTGAGTCTAAGAGTTCTTGGTGCCTTTCATCATCTTTGAGCTATTTTACATTTCTCTAAGTTACAGAATATTGACAACAGTGCACATTATTCTTGTCCATAAACATACAAATTATGTTCGTAGGAGTTTCAGTTGATTATTATTCTATGGATATTGACCAGTTTCATATGTGTTAAGCAGATTTACTTAAGCATTCCTGACTGCCCATATAGTCTGGTACTTTGATTATTTCTTTGAATTGATTGCAACGTCTTACTGGTTCCCACACTAACTAATGAGTTAAATGAAAATTTTTTTTAATATTTTATTTGTTAGGTAATCTCTACACCCAACATAGGGCTCAAACTTACAACCCCAAGATCAAGAGTCACATGCTCTACTGACTGAGCCAGCCAGGCACTCTTTAAATGAAATTTTTGACATGTCTTCATTTTATAGCTATATGAGAGTCATGTTTCTACAGTTTTGTTAAAAACTATTCTTTAACAGCTACCATTAGCTATTATTAACTTATCTTCTATTTTATTTCCATTACCCAGTTTCATATCTGTCTGATGGACATATTTAGTTTTCTCACCTCCAGGCCAATCAATCTGTATTGAAAAATACCATTTCTAGTAATCACAAATTAATGCAAATCAAAGTCATGCATACTAAAAGTGTTATGAGCCTATAGATACATAAACTTTTAAGGCAGAATTCCAATTAATGGAAGTAGAAGAAAAATTAAGGACTTTTAAAATTATGCTGTGGATAACACACTGTCACCAACTAACATTTATAAGAACATCTATTACTTGCTAATCTTGAAATTAATGTTTTTTTTAAGTTTATTTCTTTTGAGAGAGAGAAAGAGCAAGCAGGGGAGGGGCAGAGAGAGAGGGAGACAGAAAATCTCAAGCAGGCTCTGCGCTGTCAGAGCAGAGCCCAACGGAGGGTTCAAACCCACAAACCCATGAGATCATGACCTAAGCCAAAACCAAGAGTCAGACGCTCAACCAACTGAGCCACCCAGGTGCCCATTGAAATTAATTTTTTAGAGTTATGAGCACATAAAATATTTCCTTAGTCTAATTACTTGATATCAAAACGAATATATTTGAAATAGGCATACACTTTCATTCAGTCAAGGTTGCAATCAAGGCAAAAGCTCAGTGCTTAACTCCAAAATTGACTTTTATAAGTAAATAACCACAGAGGCACAATTTGTTAACTTGGCCTTTAGCTGTGACAGTTGCTCACTATATCCTTTCTGAATATATGACTCTCCATGGTGAGATGTTCCATCTGTGTAATTATGGATGAAATATAATAACATTTCTTTCCAAGCTTTAGCTCAATAAAGATTGTCCTGTGGTTGATTGCTATATTTTTAAAGAGCTATGCCTTATTGTCCCATAATATTTCTCCCCCTCTCATTTTTTTCATGGCCTCTGCCAAGAAGTGAGTTTCATTCCTTCTGTTAAAAGTCAGTCTGGTATTTTGGCTTTTACATGACACCTTGAGCATCTAAATGGTCTGGGAAGGTCTACACCAGACCACAGCTGGTTAAATCTCCCAGGATAAAAATACTCCACACACTTTCTCCTCCTTCTCCAAGGCCCTCAGGGATCAACTGACTTCTTGGTCCATTTTGTTTTGTTACATGTTTTTCATTATATATATATATATATATATATATATATATATATATATATATACACACACACACACACACACACACACACACACATTTGCCTATATGTTTTAGACTTCTTTTAATTATATATATGTATATACTTTATATTCTTTAATTATACATACACACATATTCTTTAATGCTATACATATATATGATTAAAGGAAATATGGAAAATATAGGCAAATGTAGGGGGAAAAATCATGCTAAAACCAATAATTCAAACAGTTACTGTTTACATTTTGGTATTAGATCTAACCTTTTCTCTGTTAATAGGCTTTTTGCTTGTTTTTATATATTGTCTCTATAATATTATTTGAATAGCCAAACATGGTCATAAACATTTATTATGCTATTATTGCATTCATTCTAAAGCATTTATTGAAAGTCTATTACGTTCCTACACTGTACCAGGAACCAGGATTCTAGGGTAAGCAAATAGACATGTTCCATGTCCTCAAAGAGCTTTATTCTTTTTTTTTTTAATTTTTTTTAACGTTTATTTATTTTTGAGACAGAGAGAGACAGAGCATGAATGGGGGAGGGTCAGAGAGAGAGGGAGACACAGAATCTGAAACAAGCTCCAGGCTCTGAGCAGTCAGCACAGAGCCCGACGCGGGGCTCAAACTCACGGACCGCGAGATCATGACCTGAGCTGAAGCCGGACGCCCAACCGACTGAGCCACCCAGGCGCCCTGAGCTTTATTCTTTAGTAGTAAAGACAGTTACACAAAAAGTCATCACAAATAAATATATAATTACAAAATGTGATAACTGCTATTGTGTTAATGAGGTTATGAGTTCAGCTGCTCAAATTAAGACACAAAATAACAGTGCTGCAGACAAAGTAGACATTGAGTCCTCTGGCAGTTTGGGTGCAAGCAGTCTCAGGTTGCCTGGAGATTCCAAGATCGCTGAGCCCCAGGCTCTTGCAGTCTGCTCATTCTACCATCTGAGGAGTGGAGCCTTCACCTGTACATCCAGGATGGCCCACTGCTAGTTCCACATGGCAGCCAGCAGCAAGAGTGAAAGCAGAAGGGGCAAGATGCCCTTCTCTTTAAGAGAGTAGTCATTTGGTTTGGCGGTGGGGGGGGGGGGGGGGGCGCCGTGGGTTGAGCATCTGACTCTTGATTTCAGCTCAGGTTGTGGGGTCGAACCCCATGTCAGGCCCCGTGCTGAGTGTGGAACCTGCCTAAGATTCTCTCTCTCTCTTTCCCTCTCCCTCTGAGAGGGAGCGTTCGCTGTCTCTCTCTCTCAAATTAAATAAATTAAATAAATAAGAAGTCATTTCTGGGGCGCCCGGGTGGCTCAGTTGGTTAGGTGACTGACTTTGGCTCAGGTCACGATCTCACAAATCATGAGTTCAAGCCCTGCATCGGGCTCTGTGCTGACAGCTCAGAGCCTGGAGCCTACTTTAGATTCTGTGTCTCCCCCCTGTCTCTACCCCTTCCCTGCTCACTCTCTCTGTCTCTCAATAATAAATAAGTGTTAAAAAAATTTTTTTTAAAGAAGTCATTTCTATGCCGTGGCATATAGCAATGCATGTGCTTCATTAAGCATTAACTAATAAGACTTGCAGTGAGTCTAATTTCAAATTTCGTAGTGGTGATGAACATGATATATTATATATTTACAAAACTATTATGTGATATGAAAACATCTGTGATTTCATTTGGTGACAAGATCATAGTTACTGCTAATACTTTTATGCTTTGTTGCCTGTATTCCTAATTGAAGCAAATGCTAAATTTCCATTAGCCATTCATGAAAATACAGATGTAATTTTTTTCCCATTCCAGTTTACAGACTCCATGAATTCTGTGCACAACTTCCTTGGGTTAAGAATCTCCTGCTTTAAGGGTACAAGCCAGAATTTGCATGTATCACATCTGCTCATATCGCATTAGTCAGAATTTAGTTTTCTACAAGGGAAGCTGGGAAGAAGTAGTTTTTATTCCAGGCAGCCATGTGCCCAGTTAGAAATCATGGGTCCTATTATTACTGAAAATGAGGAGAATGGATATTGGGGTACCACTAACAAAAAAAAAATGAACTTTATACTATGAAAAAATTTAATAGCGAGTCCTAATCCAGATTATGGAGTCAGGAAAAGTATCTCTGAGAAAGTGCAGTTAAACAGAGATCTGAAATATGATAAATAATAATAATAATAGTGCCAAACCTATTACTTATTGAGTGCTTACCACGTGCTGGGCATTCTTCTAGTATGCTGCCCATATTAATTCTGTCTCACAACAACCATGCTCAGTTCAGGGGGACTGTTCAGGTTTTAGCCCTGAAAGTCCTGTATCCCGGGAAACCCCTCAGTCTAGGGAAGCCTGGATGGCTGCCACTGTGTTGGTGCTATTGTTGTCATCCCCATTTTATGGAAAAGGAAACCAAAACATGAAAATGTTAAGTAAGTTGCCCAAAATTACACAGCTAGTATTTGGCAGAGTCAGGATTTACATCTGGGAAGGTTGCTCCAGTCTACCTGCTTACCTGCTGTGTTAGTTTGCTAGGGCAGCTGCAATGAAGTACCATAGACCAGGTGGCTTAAACAACAGAAATTTATTTTCTTACAATTCTAGAGGCTAGATGTCCAAGATCAAAGTATCAGCAGGGTTGATTTCTTCTGAGGCTTCTCTTCTTGACTTGTAGATGGTCACTTTCTCCCTGTGTTTTCACATGCTCTTTCCTCTATATCTGTGTCCTCATATTATCTTTTATAAGGACACCAGTCATTGGATTAGGGCCCACCCTAATGACCTTATTTTACTTTAATTGTGTCTTTGAAAACTTTATCTCTAAATAACAGTTACATTCTGAGGTACTGGAGGTTCGTTAGGACTTCAACATATGAATTTGGGGGAAACACAATGCGAGCCCATAACAACTACTGCATTCTGCTACCAGGCGAAGAGTGTGTGTGTGCATGGAGGTGGGGGTAGTGTTCCACAAAAGAAAACTGCATGTGCACAAGCCCCAAATCAGTAAAGGGTCCGGCGCGTTCAAAGAGTGAAAGCCTTGTAGCTGGCATTTACCGAATGTGCAGGAGGGTGGACCACGTGAAAATGGAGAGGTAAGCAGGAACCTTGGTGCTGTGATCTTTTGTAGGCCAAGTTGAGAACTGAGGATTTTAAGTGCACAAGGAAGGCCCTGGAGGGATTAAAGCAGGGTTTGGCCTAATCCAAAAACTCAGATTTTAGAAGACAGCTCTGGTGCGTATTTGGAGAATAGACTGGAAGCAGGAGGACTGGTTAGGAGCTTCTGCTTGGAGCTTGGGCCAGTGTTGTTGGGGATGTGGACAGGTGTGGCAGTGGAGATGGAGAAAAGTGGGTGAATATCACGTGGTGAAGGTAGCACCAGTGGAACTTGCTGATGCACAGAAGGTGTCAGAGAAAGGATGCTTCCTGCTTCCTCCACCTGGCAGAACCCTTTTTGTACATGTATTCCCCTTCCTCCCTTAGAAGAGCCAGGTACCATCCTCAGCCCACAGACGTACATCTTACAAAAGAACCTAAGCATGGTATTTCCACTCCCATCACCAGTGATTGGTCCAGGCCAGTGCATGTTTCCCTGCTCTGGTCAATGACACTTAAGAAAAAGTCTACTGTGGGGCTTCTGAGAAATTTGCCTCAGTAACAAAGGTACAATATACAATTTCACTTATGAAATATTATTGCCAAAAAGGTTTAACAGAAATCATATTAAGCTTCTAAATATAATTTTGAAGTTCACAAGAAATATAAAGATAAGAGGAACAAGATAAATGGCATCATGAGGAAATATATCAGAATAATTCAAAAGAAAAACACAATGTCATGAGAAATGAATTGGGGGAATGTTCTAAATTTAAAAAGACCAAAGAAATATCACGGCACCTGGGCAGCTCAGTCAGTTAAGTGTCCGACTTCAGCTTAGGCCATGATCTCACTGTTCGTGGGTTCGAGCCCCTCATCAAACTCTGTGCTGACAGCTCAGAGCCTGGAGCCTGCTTCAGATTCTGTGTCTCCCCCTCTCTCTGTCCCTCACCTGCTTGCACTCTGTCTCTCTCTCTTCTCTCTCAAAAATAAATAAACTTAAAAAAAAAAAAAAAAGACCAAAGAAATATAAAACCAAATGCAGTGTATGCAACTTGATTGGATTCTGGTTTGAAAAAGATAAGCTATAAAATACATTTTAGGGACTAATGAGGAAATTTGAACATAGACTGTATATTAAGTGATATTAGGGAGTTACTGTTAATTTGTCTTAAGTATGCTGTTGTTGTGGATCTTTAGGAGACATATATATTCTTAGGAAATACAGGCTGAATCATGTAGGTGTGCAGTGTCATGATGTCTGCAACTTACTGTCAAATGATACAGGAAAAAGAGTGAAGGTGGGAGGTTAAGCAATTGTGCCGTGTGGCAAATGTCATCAGTTGTTGAATCTAGGTAGAGTGTATATGGGTCGCCATTGTACCACTCCCAACTTTTCTGTACATTTAAAATTTTTCAAAATGAAGAGATGAGGGGTCAGAGAGACACAAGGAAGACACATACCTCTTCTTCCTCTGGATGTTGTCAGTTTTGAATGTGATGCTCGTGACTGAAGCAGCCATCATGCAGCCATGAGGGAAACTAGCGTGGAGCATCTAGCTGAAATGCTGACCTGGCCCTGGAGCCCTGCTGACATTAGCAGTAGATGCGTTTTCGGCCATTGGAGCTGCCTTCCTCCTAACTTTCTGTTATGTGAAAGAATCCATATTCCTTACTATTTAAGCATTTTGAGTTGAGCCATTATCTCTAGTGGAGACAGGAAAAAATACTAAAAATAGAGTAGTCAGGGAAGCAGCAGGGAAGCCAGGAGACAATGGTGGTAGAGATATAAATCATAAGTTGTATACAGTTTTGCTCTCTGCTTATCACAGTATAACATGAATTTTCCCATATCATTAAGATTTACTTATAAACATTTTTATTCTTTTGGAATAAGTAATATATTCCTGTGTTAAATATGGCCACAGATTTTTTGCAGTTACTCTCATCAGAGGTGGTCTATTCCCCACCCCTTGAAGCTGAGCTGGTTGGGTTTTGTTTTTGTTTTTAAGCACAGTTAACATACAGTGTTATATTAGTTCAGTTCTACAATATAGTGATTCAACAACTCTGTACATTACTCAGTGCCCAGCACGGTTAAGTATAGTCGTCATCTGTCACCGTACAACGTTATTAGAATATTACTGATTATATTTCCTGTGCTGTACTTTTCATCTCTATATTCATTTATTTTATACAGAAGTTTGTACCTCTTAATCCCCTTTATATATTTCACCCATTACCCCCACCAACCTCTCCTCTGGCAACCACCAGTTTGTTCTCTGTATTGAAGCATCTGTTTAGTTTTGGGGCACCTGGGTGGCTCAGTAGGTTAAGCGTCCGACTTTGGCTCAGGGCATGATCTCGGAGTTTGTGAGTTCAAGCCCAGTGACGGGTTCTGTGCTGACAGTGTGGAGCCTGGAGCCTGGAGCCTGCTTCAGATTCTGTGTGTGTGTGTCTCTCTCTCTGCCCCTCCCCCACTCATGCGCGCTGTCTCTCTCTCTCTCAAAAATTAAACATTAAAAAAAGAAAATTAAAAGTGGATGTTCCAGCCCCTTCGGATGAACTGCAACCCTGACAACTTCACTGCAACTGCATGAGAGACCCTGTGCCCCAGCTCCCCAGAGCCACCCGGCAAAGCAGCTTCCTGATCCTTGGCCCTCAGAAACGCTGAGGTATTAAATATCAGTTGTTTTAGCCCATTAAGGTTTAGGATAATTCATTATATGGCCATGAATACTAATACAGTGTCATTTCCTTTATTTACATACATATATACAAATATGAACATAGATTCTACTGTCTCCCCACCTTTTCATATAAAAGATAGTATATTGTTCACATTATGACATTAGCATAATTTCTCTTATAGGTATTTCCATAGAAGGTCATAGTGAGTTTCACCAATTTTTTATAGGTACATACTGGTTAATTTAACCGGTCTTCTAGTGGGAGACACTTGTTTTTTTTCTATTCATTTCCTGTGACAACTGGCACTGAAATTATTAGCTTTGTACATTACTTTTGTATGCTAATGCATAAATAAATTCCCAGAAGTACAATTTCTGGGTCAAAATTGTGTTTTTGATAGATGCTGCTAAGTTCCCTTGATAAGGTTTATGGCATTTTGCACTCCTACTAGATGTGAGAGAACCCAGTTCTCTCGAAAGTTTTGACATTTTTGCCAATTGGATAAGTTAAAAAGTAGTATTTCAGTATAATTTTAATTTACATTTCTATTATTCAAAGGGGAGACGAGCATTTTTTCATAGTTTTAGAATTATTCTTATATCATATCCTGTAGACTGTCTTTTCATAAGCTTTGCTCACTTTTCTATAGGTTACAGGCCTTCTGTATTGCTTTGTAGGAGCTCTGTGTACATGAGGGAGATTAGTCCTATGTCTGGGACATAGATCACAACTTTTTTTCCCAGTTTGTTGTGGCTTTGACTTTTCTTGTAAAATCTTCCCATGTAGAAATTTTGTAATATATTTTTATTTAGTCAGACTTTATCAATATTTACTTTCAATGCTTCTGGATTTTGAATCATCATTATAAAGACCTTCCCATTAAATTTTTTTAAATTATTGTTTGTTTTCTTCTAGTACTTCTATACTTTTAACTTTTAGTTTTTTTCTTTCTTGGATTTTTGTTTGTTTGTTTTGGAGGAAATAAATGTTGCAAAGCATGGATCCAACTATCTAGTTCATCATTTATTCATCAGTCCACCCTTGCCCCCTTTGACTTGAGATGCTTCCTCTTTCATGGAATGAACTAATGTATGTGTTTTCTGTGTATACTGTTCCATTTGTCTATTAGTATTCTAGCACTGTACTCTCTTACCTATTGCAAGTTTAAAATATGTATTCATATATATCTGGTAATACTGGTTCTTTCTCATTGTTTTTTTTCCCTTGCCAGTATTTTCCTGGCCATTCTTATTTATTTTTTCCATTTGAACTTTAGGATCAGTTTTTCTATTAAAAAAATTCTAAAGTTATTTTTTTAATTATGTTAAATTTATATCTAACTTACAAAAATAGGTATTTTTATTATATTGAGCCTTCATAAACATTTTTGATGACAATGTTATTACTTATCTTACTGATAACACCATTGACTTAACTGTGCTCTTGTTATTTGATCCTTATGTTTTCCCCAATTCTTAGATGAACCACTGTAGTTGAATCTCTGTCCATATCTGTGATTATTACCTTGTGATAAATTCCTAGAAGTAAAATCACTAGTCAAAGGCTGTGAACTTTTGAGACGTCTGACATTGTCACAATTCTTACCAAAGAAATTATGTCTTCCCACAAAATGTGGATGAAAGTGATAGATTTATTAATTCTTTTTAAGAACTTTAAGACAGAGCTGTGAACTTTATTTTATTTAATTTATTTACTTTTATTTATTTTTGAGAGAGAGAGACAGGGGAGGGGCACAGGGGAGAGTGGGGACAGAGGATCCCAAGTGGGGTCTGCACTGACAGCACTTGAGCCAGATGCGGAACTTGAACTCATGAACCATGAGATCGTGATCTGAGTTGAAGTCGGACGCTCAACCAACTGAGCCACCCAGGTGCCCCAGATTTATTAAATTTTTTAACAGTCTTCCTATGTTAGCATGTCAAAGTGATATCTCACTTTTATTTTTCATTTATTTAATCATCAGTGAAGTAGGACATTTTTTGTTTACTACGTATTTGTATTTGATTTCTAGTGATTTATTGTCAACATCCTTACTCATTGTTTTTTTTTGTTAAAAACCTAGTAGTTTATTTCAAAGTATAATTTTTTTTCCTTACTCATTTTAATGCTGATGGTCTTAATGTTTTTCTTTTTGATCTGTATGAGCTTTTATATATTAAGGCTCTCAAATCTATTAAGTCTTATATTTGTGTCAACTACTTCAACACTTTGTTTATTTTTTGTTATTTATAATATGGTATTTTGTGTCAATTTTTTTTTTTTTTTTTTTAAACACATACTCACTGAGGGGCATCTGGGTTGCTCAGTCGGTTGAGCGTCCAGCTTCTGCTCAGGTCATGATCTCGCCATTCATGGGTTTGAGCCCCACGTTGGACTCTGTGCTGACAGCTCAGAGCCTGGAGCCTACTTCAGATTCTGTCTCCCTCTCTCCCTGCCCCTTCCCTGCTCACACTGTCTCTCTCTCTCTCTCAAAATGAATAAACATTAAAAAAAAAAGAAGTTTTAAAATACATACTCACTGAATGAATTAAATAATACAGAAATAATATAGTAAGTATAGTAATAAGTGATAATATAGTAAAAAGTAAATTTTTTCTTTGCCCCAACCTTCTCACTTCTGCTAAGGGCTTTGTGTGATGATGTTTTTTAACATTCAAGATTTTAAGCTTTCTTTGTTGTCAAATATATATAATTCTTACTTTCTTAATTTCTTCCATTAGTTTATGCTCAGAAAGACGTTCCCGTACTGAAATCAGAGGTGGAGGGGAGCCAAAGTGAGTATAGAAAAACCAGTAGGTGGGATATTGAGGTTGTCTGGGCAAGAGATTATTGTGGCTTGGACTGGGATGATGGTAGAGGACATAAAAAGAAGTGGACAGATCAATATATAATTTGGAGATTGACTTGCTGACAGACTGATGGGGAAACGTAGTGGAGAGAAGAGAAATAAATGATGGTTCCTGTAGTTTTGGCATATGCAACTGTTGGAATGGGGTTATCTTTTTCACATTCCTAAGCTGAAGAATGTGAAGTCTTTATGATACTTTCTCAGTGATATTCATTGACATGTGATCCCCTTTTACAGGGTCCTTAAATACAGGCCATCATATCCTTGGTCTGGTTATTATTTTTTTTTAACATGCCATATTTTAATGTGCCTGCCTACTTTGTAGGAATGTTCTTTTGTTTACAAAGTGTTTTTGAGTTTGTCTCTTGTTCTCATTGATGACTCTTACCTAGGTACTAGTATGGGCTAAGGTTTTCCATTCCCTAGTCAGTGAGAGCCTCAGAAAGAATGTTTGGAGCACTGGAGGATCGAAAACATGGGCGGGGAGGTATTTCTCAGTGCTCTCTGCTGTTATCAGATTGTTGCAATGAGGGCTCTCAGGCAGTTCCTGAGGGCTGGTGCTGCAAAACTCACCACCTCCTTTTATTTCAACACAGGGGTCATCAAAGGAGAACCTAGTTTATGAGTGTGTGGCCTGGAATAGCTAGTTTGGAACTAATCAGTAAAAACACAGTCAGCAGGTTTGTTGTTGATATCCTTATTGTGCAGAACAGTGCTCAGTGAAGCTTCTAGTCCTCCTTGAACTCCACAAACAGGTTCAGGGGACACTGTCGTTTTAGTACATCACAGCAACATCAGAGTCCCTACCATAGGGGAAGAAATAAAGGTGATGGCCTCTAATGCCCCCACCCTATACAATCAGTCTGATGACTGCATATGACCACTCTCCCTTAATGACCCAGAGAAGCCCTCTCTAACTTCCTGCCAGGGCACACACCTAGTTGTTTTTCTGAGAGTCACAGTGGCTTCTGTGGAGCTATGCTCTACACATGCTTCCTCCTGATTCTTCTAGCAACCAGTAGCACAGGCCAACAGGGGGAAAGGTTCATTAGAGTTAGAAATGTAGTCTGTGGGCTTAGAACAGCTTTTCTGGGCAAAAGTAACTGATCCTTCTAGGGAAATAAGCAGTCTAGGTCTTTGAAAAATTACATTCTAGCTGATCCACAATTCTATTGCATAATCATGGGTCACACCTGCAGCCAAATTAAATATGTTTGTCACTAGGATATTTCCATCTGGCAAACAAAATACTGTGGTATTATACTGCTCCCTCTTCCTGGAATGTCCTTGTGTGCTATATCTTCAAGGAGGCCATTTGGCCATGTTCCCAAATCCCTGGCCTTTGACCAGCCACCTCCTGCCTTTGCAGACTCCCAAGAGAACTATGTGGAGGGACAGTCCTGGCAAATGAACACTGTTTTTTACACTGTTTATACAAGCCTCACTGCTAAGCTTGTCTGGATCACTTCAGTGACAAAAAGAGACATAGACAAACCCAACAAAAATGGTGGGACCCAAAATCTAGGTCAAAGTGATAAAGCTGCAGCCCTGTGCTTTCCTGAGAAAGCAGGGGTGCAGGAAGAGACTCTCAATCTTATCCTTGTCATCAGTGTCCTAATGTTCTTTTCCCACCTCATGAACGTCTACTCATTCTATGAACCCCAATGCAGAAGCCTCTTCCTTTCTGAGTTTTCCTTGACCACAGCCCCATCCAAGAAGAATGAGTGGTTCCTTCATTTGTGATCCTGTTTATGTTTCTCCTTGATCACTGTACTAGGTCTTATTGTGGTGATCTGTTTATTTGGCCCTCTTCCCAGACACCAAAGGTAGACTCTGTCTTACTCCCCCTTTTATTTCCAGTGCCTGGCCAAGTGCCCGGCCTTGGGAGGTGTTCGGTGTAGTGTGCTGAAAGCCATGTCTTTTGGCACTGGAAACAAGGCACCTGGTTGTACAAAGTGTGCAGTGCACAAACATGCTGGGCCAAGGTGGTGAGTGGGGCTGGTGTGGACTGGTTTGGGGCTGTCTCTACGGAAAGGGAGCCTAGTTTTTCACACAGAGGCACTAGCTGGCAGGGCTGTCTGAGCCCAGAAGGGGTACTTCCTAATTTGCACCAAGACACTACATAGGCTTGCAGTCTTCCCGATTGCAGACCCAGGCAAACCAGACCCAGCAGAATGGCAGAATATGAAGAAATTCAAGCTTGAAAGAGTAGTTTCCCTTGTGAAAAGTTTCCACTACTCATTTAATAGGCAAGCCTTACAGTTACGTGATTTTAGAGAACTTATTGTCAATTATGAATAAGAAGAATTTGTATTATGCTTTTCAGTGTAGTGTATTTAGTTCTTTCTCCTCAGTTACAATTTTTGAAATGTATAAAATTATACAATTTTAGGCCTGAAAGTTATCTATTGATTTTTTTTTTGAGCTTTTAATACTGTCTCTATGCTCAGTATGGACTAGGCACCAAAAACTGTAATAAAAATTGACCAGGGTCAAATAACTATTTGGTGGCAGGTTTTTCATTTGCTAAAAGAGCATTTACCATACAATTCTATCAGAAACAAGAGGCAAAGTGGTCACTATGTTAATGCAATTGGAATTTTATCCATCTCACTCTTTGGTTTCCACTGTGGTCTTATATTGTCAATTTTTCAATGCAGAAGCTGTCATTTCTTTAGTCCATCCCCCTTTTATATGTTCACACCCACCTACTAAAAATAGACTATCAACCATTTGGGGGATATCATTACTAGATTGGGAGAACCTTGAGGAAAGGAAGTAGGTCTCAATCTTATTTGTTTTTATCCCATGGTGTTATAACATAGTATATAGTTGTTCAATAAATCTTTTCATTTTATTTATTTTATTTTTTAAAATGTTTATTTTTGAGAGAGAGAGTGAGAGTGGAAGAGGTGCAGGGGGGGTGGACAGAGGATCCAAAGCAGGCTCCACGCTGACAGCAGCAAGCCCGATGTGGGACTTGAACTCACAAACCGTGAGACTATGACCTGACCTATGAGCTGAAGTCAGATGCTCAACCATCTGGGCCACCCAGGCACCCTCAATAAATCTTTTTAAAATGAAAGTAATGAATGACGGCATTAATGAATGAATGAATAGGAGGTAATGAGAAGTGACAAGAAGGCTTACACTCTATCTGTGATATTTTATTTAACAAATGTCACAATATTAAATTATTTAAAAATTTTTTGACATTTATTCATTTTTGAGAGACAGAGAGAGACAGAGTGCGAGAGGGAGAGGAGCAGAGAGAGAGGGAAACACAGAATGTGAAGCAGGCTCCAGGCTCCGAGCCACCAGCACAGAGCCCAACACGGGGCTCGAACCCACCGACCGCAAGATCATGACCTGAGCCGAAGTCGGACACCCAGCTGACCGAGCCACCCAGATGCCCCAAAATATTAACATTTTCTAAATCAGGGTGGTGGATATATGGAAAGACATTATCTTTTTCTCCATGGTGTTTTTCGTATTTCAAAATTTCTAGAAGATTTTTAAAAACCAAGGTGAGTAATAGAGGTGATAGCAGTATGACAAAAGTGCCTTTCTTTAAGGATCTCATTACTTAATTAGGGAGTTGTTCCAAGTATGTATAATTGGACTGTACATTTTTAGGAGTTGACTGGGGAGGGGGAATAAAGCAGCAAATAACTCTGAAACTAGAAAAGCAGGAATTGACACAACTTGTCTAGTTGTCAGGGTATCCCATGAATCAGCAGATAGGCACTTTGGCATATTTTAATACATATCCAGCATCTATGAATTATGAAATATGGTCAAGAAGAACGGATCAATCTAGGTAGCACAATACCAGCTAAATACCTGGAGGTTGGTAGAAATCCTGTAGAGACTTCTGGCAAAATACCTTTTGACCTTTCCAATGAGATCTGTTCTTTCTCCTCTCCATCCTGCTCTCTTCCTGGAATGTTGACCCGTATGGACTACATCAGTGGATGCTCATGACTTCTGCCTTCTACATCTAACAGGGGATGCCCGTTATTTTTGCATGTACAGCTTCCTTTCCCCATTCCTTAGGTTAGAGAACCAGGGACCACCATGTATGCTCTCTCAGGGATTGTACGCTGCAGTGAGTCCCATTCATAGACTCGAACAGGAATAAGAGTTCTGAAGCTGTACAGCTTTGTGGCCCTGACATAACTCTTTCTTTTGGTAAATGTACCTCATCTACCTAGATAGTACAATCTGTGTGTCTGCTTCCTTGCCACAGAAGTGGACATGTGATTTAGGCTAGTCAGAGAACTATCTCTAGAAACCACCACTGATTATTGTAGGACAAGGCTCATGACCCAAGGAAGCCAACGGCACTCTTTGAGGGGTTGTTTGAATGGTAGGAGAGAAAGAATCTCTCCTGAGATTTCTAATACTAAGAAGCATGAAAGTCTAGAGCCTCTAGCGGTTCTTTTGCCACATAATAAAAGCCTACCTGCAAATAAAGTCAACACAGAGGAAAGGAGAATTGAAAGAAGTAGAAAAGGAGACAGATTATTGATGACAGGTTTTATCCACAGCTCTGCCTAAATTACTCATGAGCTTTTTGGTTATATGAGCTAATAACTTCCCTCCATTGCTTAGGAGAGTTTGAGTTGATTCTGTGTCACTTGCAACCCCAGGAGTCCTGGCTAAAACAGATGCATAAGCGAAACCATAAATCAGGAACTTGGAATTTGTTTTCTCCTTAACAGAAAACTGAATGTGCTGCTTTTGACAACGATGATGGCATTTTTCTGCCCACAGCCCTCTAATGGCTTCTCTTCTTTCCCAGGGAAGAAGACGACTGTACACACATGGACAGTTGGTCCCTATGTGGTCTGACCTTATCTCTAACCTCCCCCTTTCCTTCCCTTTGCTCACAATGCATCAGGAAACCTGACCTTGGTGGTCCTT